CGTCATTAGGTCTGTCATCCTCTATGCTGCGCCAATATGGTCAAGAGCGATGGCAACGACGAGCTACAGACGGGACATTTGCGCGATCTACAGACTGAGCGCAATCAGAGTCAGCTGCGCTTTCAGGACTATCTCCGATGATGCGGCGCTTGTCATAGCCGGAATGGTGCCACTGGAGTACCTGGTCGCCGAAGCCGTGGAGCGGAATTCGGACGCGCCTGTGCGACACAACGCTATCAGGGCGAACAGCATTGCACGATGGCAAAGGAAGTAGAATAGCTGAGCTAAAGGGCGGTGGACGCACAAGCTCATCCCGGAGCTCGAACCATGGGTTAACCGCAAACACGGCGAGGTTAACTTCTATCTTTCGCAGATCCCCCCCGGCCATGAATGCTTTCGGAGCTATTTGAAGCGCTTTGTCACGAGGATAATGACACGCATGGGCTGCAGTGTGCGCTTATTATGAGAATTTAATTGTTTAATAACTTTTTTTGTGGACATACGATCTTCATGAAACTTTCAGATTATGATTACAACATGGATATGCATGCATTTGCCAAAGCACAAGTCTCTAGTATTTGAAATACGCCTTTTCCAAATGTGACGGTGAGGGGGTGGATATAGGGGCTGGGGGTAAATTTTAACACAAACTGAAATTGTATAAATTGCATAAAAGCATACACAAACAAGTAAGAACGTTGTAGTCGGGCGTTGCCGACTGCGGAATACTCTTGCACATCCCATCAGCAATTTAGTAGTTAAGTTTCGCTCTAATACTGTAGAAAACACAGTTTTTTACGATTTGCCACGCCCCTACTGGGCGTAGACACCTCATTTTTGGTCAGTTTTTAGAACGAGATAACGGTACGTAACTGAAAGCTTCTAGCTATTATACTTAAGGAGATATAAACTTTTGCGGTTTGCCACGCCCCCTGTGGGCGAACATATATCCGACAAAACTTTTTGGTCTTGGGCGATCAGCCAGAGTATATATAACAAATAAGAACGTTGCAGTCGGGCGTTATCGACTGCGGAATACTCATTCACATCCCATCAACAATTAAGTAGTTAAGTTTCGCTCTAATACTCTAGAATATACAGGTTTTTCCGATTTGCCACGCCCCAACTGGGCGTAGATACCTCATTTTTGGTCAGTTTTTAGAAAGAGATAACGGTACCCTAACTGCAAAGTTTGAATGCTTACCCTCAAAAAATGTGAAAATTACAGGGTATTTTTCGATATGCCACGCCCCTAAAGAGGCGTAAAAATTATTTTTGGAGAATCGATAGAGGAGGCTACCAGTAACTCAACTATCCAAATTTAAAGCTTCTAGCTATTATACTTTAGGAGATATAAACTTTTGCGGTTTGCCACGCCCCCTGAGGGCGGACATATATCCAACAAAACTTTTTGGTCTTGGGTGATTAGTCCGAGTATATATACAAAATTTTAGGTCTCTGCCATCAATAGTGTCCAAAATATAGGAGAATTTAAAAAATCACTATATCTTCAGGTCCGATTTACCACGCCCCCAATGGGCGTAGACTTATAATTTTATCTTTAGACTTTATAGAATCATACCATTAGCTGACGTGCAAAATTTCAGCATTCTAGGTTTACAACTTTAGGAGATACAGTTTTATCCGATTTGCCACGCCCCCAATGGGCGTAGATATATCCGCCATAGCTCGTGATCTTGGGTGGTCAACGCGGACCTACATACCAAATTTCAGCTTTCTAGCTCTTTAACTAACATGATTTCTGGTATATCGCAAAATGCATTTTCCGATTTGCCACGCCCCTAGTGGGCGGATCGGGAAAACTTTAACACTTTATAAATCGGAGATATACACGAGTATGTGTTCCAAATTTCAAGTCTCTAGCTTCAATAGGGCCGAAATAGATTGCGTTCATACGGACAGACGGACAGACGGACAGACGGACAGACGGACGGACGGACGGACAGACGGACAGACGGACGGACAGCAAGACGGACATTGCACAAAACCAATATACTGATTCACTTTCGTGAATGAGTATAAAAATTTCTCTGGCATCATTAGTGTCCAAAATATAGCAGAATTTAAACAAGTAAGAAGACTCTAGTCGAGACTGCTCGACTAGGAGATACCCTGAACCCTCTAATCTTATATTCTAATCATACACTCTTAATTGAACTTTCAGAGCGTAATCATATGGTGAATATGTATGTACATTCCAAAGCACATGTCTCAAGTACTTGAAATACGCCTTTTACAAAGGTGTGGGTGAGGGGGTGGATATAGGGTTGGGGGGGTGAATTACAACAAAAATCGAAATTATATAAAATACATATAAGTCTACATTTAAAATTTGCAAGCTCTAGCTCTAAAGGTGTGGGAGGTATAATTAAATAACTATCTTTCGATAAGGTTATTGATCGATAATAAAATATCGGGATTAGTTATCGATATATAGAGAAAAACTCGATATTCGCGTGATATACACTGACATAGGAAAAAAAATTTCAAGTCTCTAGCTGTTATATCTTCTGCGATCGACGCGTTCATACATACGGACGGACGGACAGACAGACGGACAGGGCCAAATCGATTCAGCTCGTCACCCTGATCAAGAATATATATACTTTGTGGGGTCTGCCACGCCTCCTTCTGCCTGTTACATACTTTTAACAAAACCATTATACCCTGATTTCCCATTTTCAATGGGTTCAGGGTATAAAAATCACTAGATCTTTAGTTCCGTTTTGCCACGCCCCTAATGGGCGTAGACTTATGTTTTATCTTTAGACTTTACAGAATCAGACGAGCAAAATTTCAGCGCTCTAGCTGTAGAACTCTTGGAGATACAGTTTTATCCGATTTGCCACGCCCTCAATGGGCGGAGATATATCCGCCATAGCTCGTGATCTTGGGTGGTCGACGCGGACCTACATACCAAATTTCAGCTTTCTAGCTCTTCAACTAACATGATTTCTGGCATATCGGAAAATGCATTTTCCGATTTGCCACGCCCCTAGTAGGCGATCGGGAAAATTTTAACACTTTATAAATCGGAGATATACACGAGTCTGTGTTCCAAACTTCAAGTCTCTAGCTTCAATAGCGCCGAAATAGATTGCGTTCATACGGACAGACGAACAGACGGACGGACAGCAAGACGGACATTGCACAAAACCAATATACTAATTCACTTTCGTGAATGAGTATAAAAATTTGGAGACTCTAGCAATAACGGTGTAGGAGATATAATTATACCCTGAACCCATTGAAAATGGGAAATCAGGGTATAATGGTTTTGTTAAAAGTATGTAACAGGCAGAAGGAGGCGTGGCAGACCCCACAAAGTATACATATTCTTGATCAGGGCGACGAGCTGAGTCGATTTGGCCCTGTCCGTCTGTCTGTCCGTCCGTCCGTCCGTATGTATGAACGCGTCGATCCCAGAAGATATAAGAGCTAGAGACTTGAAATTTTTTTTCCTAGGTCCGTGTATATCACGCGCATATCAAGTTTTTCTTTATATATCGATAATTACTCCCGATATTTTATTATCGATTAAAACCCCTATCGAAAGCTAGTTATTTAATTATATCTCCTACACCTTTGAAGCTAGAGCTTCCAAATTTTTAATGTAGACTTATATGTATTTTATATAATTTCGATTTTTGTTGTATTTTACCCCCCACCCCTATATCCACCCCCTCACCCTCACCTTTGTTAAAGGCGTATTTCAAGTACTAGAGACGTGTGCTTTGGAATGTACATACATTTTTACCATATGATTACGCCCTGAAAGTTTCATTAAGATTGTACGTATAGAAATTAAATTATTCAACAAATAAATTCTTATAATGTTACCTACACTGCAGCGCAGCCCAAGCGCAGTTAGCAGAGCGCATTCTAATACGTGCGTGTGTATGTATGTGTGTCGAAAAGAAGTGCAGACTGATTAGAATATCAGATTAGAGGGTTCAGGGTATATCCTAGTCGAGCAGTCTCGACTAGAGTCTTTTTACTTGTTTTATAACTGGTTTTCGATAAGGTTTTTTTATCGATAAAAATGATCGGGATGAGTTATCGATTTTTAATGATAAACTTGATATCCGCGCTGTAAATACGGACATTTAAAAAATATTGAAGTCTCTAGCTCTTATATCTTCTGAGATCGACGCTTTCATACATACGGGCGGACGGACGGACAGACAGACAGACGGACACGCGTCGATCTCGGAAGATATAAGAGCTAGAGACTTGAAATTTTATTCCTTGATCCGTGTATATCACGCGCATATCGAGTTTTTCTCTAAATATCGATAACTACATAACTACTCCCGATATTTTATTATCGATTAAAGCTTTATCGAAAGCTAGTTATTTAATTATATCTCCCACACCATTAGAGCTAGAGCTTCCAAATTTTAAATGTAGACTTATATGAATTTTATATAGTTTCGGTTTTTATTACAATTTACCCCCACCCACCCCTATATTCACCCCCTCACCATCACCTTTGGCAATAATTGGCATATTTATGTACATCCACAAGAAAAGTTATTAAACAATTAGGTTTCATAGTAAGCGCACATGTGTGTTGAGGCTTGGGTGTTTGTGTGCGTATATGTGTGTGTTTGTGTATGTGTGTGTGTATGCGTGTGTCTTGTGTAAGCAGATAGATGCGAAAAATGATTGAAATAGCTATTGCTCGAAGGGTTCAGGGGATCTCGTAGTCGAGCAGTCTCGACTAGAGCTTTCTTACTTGTTTTTAATCTATTTATATTAAAGATCACATCAGCTACTTCCAAATTATTATTTAGTTATATGTGGTTATATTAATTTTCATAAGATAAATATGACTGTACATAATATAATAATATGTAATAATAATAGTATTTTATACAAATAAATCATTTTTGGTTAGTTTGTAGCAACTGTAACAAAAATAAGGGTGATAAAAATTTTCCGAGCATGCTCAGTTGTTTTAACTAAGGGGGTTGATTGTATGTAATTCGCGTATAAATCGATTTTGGAAATATTTCTGACTATTTTCAGTCAAAAGTTTTTCCATAGACATGTAAAAAACGATTATGTATTTTATATTGAGTGCAAAGACAAAATATTATTAAATTATCAACGATTTCGCTTTATTTTTTTAATTAGAATCTTTATAAGTTTGTTTCTTTTATCGCTTTCCACTTAAGAGATAATCAATAAAGTGAGTGTATTTTAACTAAAATTCAGGTAAGATTTACTTTTTTTCAAAGTCATAAAAAATTAATTACTTGTTTTTATACGCCATGTTATACATTTTTCAACTTAATATATTTTCGAGAACTCTAAGATATTTTTCTAAAAATTCTTATAGACAAGTACTTATATTTTAGCTATAATGGGCACCGTTTTAAGTTTCAATCCACGTGATAGGCATCCGGTATACTCATCACAGCCAAATTTTCCATATAACCAATCTACGGACATTCCAAATCAAAAATCAAACGACAATTCTGGATCAGTGGACTCTCAACTGAATAATTTTTCTTATGAGCAGTTAAATAACGCTAAAAATAGAGAAAATAGAAAAGTTTATTCACATCAAATATCAAGGAATGGCTCTGGACATCAAAATACTTGTGGGAGCCTACAATTTAATATGCACACACAGATGAACTCGCACAACTTTAACAGCTTGACATATTCATCAAAGGATACAATTAACAATGATTTGGATTCTCATAACGAGAATTCAACTATTATATTAGAAAAAAGTTCTATTGAAAAAAACTTGAAAAAACATTCACTCTTTATAAATGCTCTATCTTGGAAAAAACTATCTACATCTCACAATAAAAAAAAAGTAGAGAATAAGAATAAGTGTGCGAACTTACCCTCTACATGCTTTAAGGCTCAGCTTTTGGAAGCTTCTTATTCGTCTTCATCGGATAAAAACAAAAACATTCAGTTACATTGTAATCATATTGAAGAGCATCAACAAACCCACTGTAATCAAAGTCAGATCATTCAGGAGCTTCCATTTTTTCCATCTACTAAAGCGCAAAAACTAACAACAGCAAAAGAACAGGGAAGAGTTAATAATACAAACTCAATAACAAATCATAATAAGTTGATTCAAAAGCAACCTCTAGCTTTGACTCGGCCTCAGCAGTTGCAAATATCATCAATTCAAATTAAAAACACCAATCAGAATTATATTCCACGTAAAACTGTTATTCAGGTGATTAGTAAATATAGATATTACATTCAATTTTTTTCTATATTAAGATTAAATTTTTAGGCATCGACTTCAGAGCTGTTAAAATGTCTAGGTCTTTTTCTACATTACCGGTGCCATAGATTAAACAATTTTGATCCTGGGGACGCTGTTATGTGGCTAAGAGCGGTAGACCGAAGTTTATTGCTGCAAGGCTGGCAGGTAAATAAATGCTCTCTTTACAACTGTTAATAATTTGTTAGTTGAGAAGTATAATAATTTCTAAGAGTTGTAGTGTGATTATACATAATGTTTTCTTGTACAATTCCGGCAACAACTTGGGAAGTACTAACCTACATTTTAGTATTAATTATCAAGCTCCGTTTAGTTTCTGATAGACACTAAAGTTGCTCTATTGGGGTTATTAGAATTTTTTCCACACAAATTCCTTTAATTTATATTGCAATATGCAACAAATTCATATCAACGCATTTTAAAATTGAATTTGATTTAATTTAATACGCATTATATCTACGTCCATTAAATGTGTAGCAAAATCAGTAAAACTGTTTAAATCTGGAACGTTGATATTTTGCATGTGAGTTTATGTTACGATTCTATAAACAAGTAAGAACGTTGCAGCCGGGCGTTAAAGACTACGGAATACTCATTCACATCCCATCAGCAATTTAGTAGTAAAGTTTCGCTCTCATACTGTAGAAAATGCGCCCCTACTAGGCGTAAACACATAATTTTTAGTCAGTTTTTAGGACGAGCTAAAGGTACCCTAACTGCAAAATTTTTAATACTTACACTCCAAAAACGTGAAAATTACAGGGTATTTTTTTTATCGATAGAGGAGATTACTAGTAACTCAACTATCAACTATTATACTTTAGGAGACATAAACGTTTGCGGTTTGGCACGCTCACTGTGTGCGGACCGAGTATATATACCAAATTTGAGGTCTCTAGCATTATTAGTGTCCAAAATATAGCAAAATTAAAACAAGTAACACACACACATTCACGCACACTCGCAAGCAGACACGCATAAACACGCATGTGCTGCAGTGTGCGCTTACTATGAGAACTTAAATGCTTAATAACTTTTCTTGTGGACATATGATCTTCATAAAACTTCTAGATTATGATTATAACATGGATATGCATGCATTTGCCAAAGCACAAGTCTCTAGTATTTGAAATACGCCTTTTTCAAAGGTGACAGAATGGGGGGTACATTTTGACAAAAATCGAAATTCCATAAAGAACATATAAATCTACATTAATAAGTAAGAAAACTTTAGTCGACAGTGCTCGACTAGATACTACCCTGAACCCAACTAATAATAAGTAAGAAGGCTCTAGTCGAGACTGCTCGACTAGGAGATACCCTGAACCCTCTAATCTGATATTCTAATCACTCTGCACTTCTTTTCGGCACACATACATACACACGCACGTATTAGAACGCGCTCTGCTGACTGCGCTTGGGCTGCGCTGCAGAATGGCCAACCTTATAATAATTTATTTGTTGAATAATTTAATTTCTAGACTTAGAATCTTAATGAAACTTCCAAAACATAATCATAATGTTCAAATATATGTACATTCCAAAGCACATTTCTATAAGTCATAAAGGCTCATTTGACACTCACTCTACAATTCAAACCATACAAAATTGACAAACTACTGAATCGCCAGACAATTATCATCCCATCTCATACATACATACACATATGTATGCAAATGTATGTGCTCCCTCAAAGGCCAATTAACGGTAAATTTTGGGTATTACAATTTGCTCAGGCAGCAAATGTTACGCACACAGGCCACAAATGCTCACACATGTTTCAAGAGACTACAAGTGTGTGTGTGCTTGCCTGTCGCGAATTCATATTCTTTATGCGTATCAACGCTTTCATACCCTTCCCACGAATATCCATCGAAACGCTACATTTTGTTTGCATGAGCCTGATAAACGCTTTTATGATTTAGGTATACCACTCACTCAATAGGAAAGAGCTGGGATCGTCATGAACAAATTTCAATTTTTGTGCGCTGCTGAGTTCGGTGATTTTAGCGACCATAGAGAGAGTGAGAGAGTAGGACAAATAGCGCATAGCTGTGCTTCATATAAGAATGGGACCATTTCGTTTGAGCGCTTGCAGCGCACTGACTTTGTCGCTCAATATTTTCACTGCTCGAACCCCCAGCGACCGAGCCGAGCAAATACGAAGTATAGTGGTCGACCAACTTAACATTTTCTGCTGTAGAAAAATTTGTTCTACATGTCTAGTCTATGTGTTCTCGCTCGCTCACTTTCCCAATAAAATATCTGACTTTGTCGCGCAATATTTTCACTGCTCGAACCCCCAGCGACCGAGCCGAGCAAATACGAAGTATAGTGGTCGACCATTTTCTGCTGTAGAAAAATTTGTTCTACATGTCTAGTCTATGTGTTCTCGCTCGCACTTTCCAAATAAAATATTTTATTTTATAAAAAACGAAATATGTATGCAAAGAGAATATAACTCGAAGAGGTTTCGAACCTCCGCTACTCTAACATACAACTGCTTTGGTTGATCAGCTAGTAGCTAAAATAGAATAGCTTAATAATAGAGCGTCATCAGACAAAACTACAATAACGGATAGAAAATCCAGAAATCAATCGAAATTCTTAGAATACGCTAAAAGGAGCGCTTTGTCTGTACGAATAGAATACTCGATGAGTGTGTGCACATGTATAGGAAAATCGCACTGATCTGCTCCTATCTTGAAGCCGGTATCCAATATGTAATAAAAACAAGTAAGAACGTTGCAGTCGGGCGTTACCGACTGCGGAATACTCATTCACAGCCCATACGCTGTCAACCAGAGTATATAGTGCAATTTTCAATTCTAGTGCGCAACAGTAGGCAGGTGACTTGCTAAAATATTTTTGAGCGTAGTCTAAACGTTTCTTTTTATTGCCATCTGAGATGCATGGTTTTCGTCGAGTTAGTATCTTGTAGGATACCCTTTTCGTTTTAACAACTCAGCCAGACGGCGAGGCATTGACTCAAACAGCTTTTTAGTGTCCTCTGCAGTTATTTTGCCCCATTCTTCCATCATGACCTCCTTCAGCATGTTCTTAGACCTTATGGTGCGCTGCCGAATCCTACGCTCGAGTAAGTCCCATAGATGCTCAATAGGATTGAGGTCTGGGGACTGGGGGGCGTTCGGAGTTGGCTTTTTACATTGTAAAGTAGCCAGAGCTCTACATTGTGGGCTGTATGCTTCGGATCATTGTCCTGTTGGAAGCAAAATTCGCCCTCCAGGTGCAATTTCTGGGCACTCTGATGCAGATTCTCACTAAGAACTTTTATATAATCCTTATGGTCCATTGTTGATTCTATAAAAGAGAGATTTCCCACGCCACTGGCCGCCATACATCCCCACACCATTACACCACCTCCACCATGCTTTACTGTTGGCAATAAATTTTCCTTATCCATGGCTGTTCCGATTTTTCTCCATACTATTTATTCCCTTTTATGCCAAATACGCAAAACTTGTTCTCATCTGAGAAAATTACCCTTTTCCAGAAGCTAGAAGGCTTGGAAACGTGCTCATTGGCGAAGTCCATACGCTTTTTCCTGTTCACCTCTGATACATGTGGCTTCCTACGTGCAACGCGGCCATGATAGCCCGCTTTTTTCCAAGTGCGTCGAACGGTTTCCTCAGAAACAGTTTTGGAGAAACGTTCTGCCACTTCCAGACGTCCTTGGGGAGCAGATATCATTGGATTTTGAGGTACCAATTGGACAATACGTTTTTTCTCTCGTTCCGTGAGCAATGGTGGGCGGCCTGAACGAGGCTTTGACAATATAGAGCCCGATGAGACATAATTGTCGTAGACTCTTTGGCACGAAGAATGAGTTCTGCCTACTAATAGACCAATTTCTCGGAAGGAATTGCCTTCTAACCTATATTTTAATATAAGCTTACGAACTTCTACCGATATTTCATTCCCTTTTTACTCCATGATGAAACGTGTGCCAAATTTATTTTCAAAGTGATAGCAAATTACGCAAATCAGCGAAGAGGAATTAAAGAAACATGCAAAAACTAACGGTGATCGTGATCGGTGTACGCAGCAAACTTAAAATGTACGCAGACTTCTGAGGTGTCATTTTTTGGTAATGTGTTTTGTTTATAATTTTTTTAAATATTAGGTTTAGTTTTAATAATAAAATGAAAACATAACTATGTTAATAAATAAATGAAAATTGTTATACAAAAAGAAGTATTGCCTTAAATCTTCTATATTAAATACAATATACATGTAAACTTAAAAATAGGGGTTTGTTTGCAAGTGTACGCAGAGTTCTGCGAGCAAGTGTATATAGTTTATGGGGTCTGCGATGATTTCTTCTGCCTGTTACATCCTCTCACAATTATACCATTATACCACTAACCACAGAGCACATAGACCAGACACGTAGTGTAAAGCGTTTTGCACACTTTTTTTCGAGCGTTGCGTCCCACACAACTTCGTATTTGCTCGTTTCTTCTTAGGTTCGGGCTACGAAAATATACGAAAGCACAATCATTTCGTTTCTTGCGCTCGACCGAGATAGTCGACTGTTGAACAAAAGGTTCCACTATGCTCAATGTTTCCCTTTCTCTCTCTCTCTCTCTCTCTCTCGATGCTTTCTGCTCTCTCAAATGTGTATATGTATCAGTGATGCCAAATTTTTTTTGGAAAAAAGGCAAATATGTCAGGAAAATACGAAAAAAAGGCTGAAAATTAAAAAAAAAAATTACAGAATACAAGACAAATTTTTTTTATTGTTTATTTGTTTTTTCTTTTTTATTCCAATCATTTCAAGGCATTGTCAAGTATGCAACCCGTGTCCTCTTCACTAGCCTCGTTTTTTACAAGCTGGGGGCGAAGGGGACGTGGTATCCAAAATCTGTAAATTATAAAATGTTTGTATTCATCATATGTATATACACAGTAGATCTGAAGTCTCCAGGTCTAATAGTATTCCAATGAGGCTGACAAAACAAAATCAATTTTTCGATTATTCTCGATAAAAAAGTTATCGGATGATAACTCTAGCTTTTGTAACTTCTGAGATCGACGCATACGGACGGACGGACGAGCAGACGGACAGGGCTAAATCGACTCAGCTCGTTGTGCTGATCAAGAATATATTTACTTTATGGGATCTGCGATGACTCCCTCTGCCCGTTACATACTTTTTCACAACACCATTAGGCCCTGATTTCCGAAAGTGAATCAGTATATTGGTTTTGTGCAATGTCCGTCTTGCTGTCCGTCCGCCTGTCCGTATGAACGCAATCTATTTCGGCGCTATTGAAGCTAGAGAATTTAAATTTGGAATTCATACTCGTGTATATCTCCGATTGATAAAGTGTTAAAATTTTCCCGATCCCCCACTAGGGGCGCGGCAAATCGGAAAATACATTTTCCGATATACCAGAAATCACGTTTGTTGAAGAGCTAGAAAGCTGAAATTTGGTATGTAGGTCCGCGTCGACCACCCAAGATCACGAGCTATGGCGGATATATCTCCGCCCATTGGGGGCGTGAAATCTTGCACGTCTGCTAATGTTATGATTCTATAAAGTCAAAAGACAATTTATTAGTCTACGCCCATTAGGGGCGTGGCAAATCAGACATGAAGATATAGGGATTTTTTAAAGTCTGCTAGATTTTGGACACTATTGATGCCAGAGAGCTCAAATTTTGTATATATACTCGGGCTGATCACCCAAGACCAAAAAGTTTTGTCGGATATATGTTTGCCCACAGGGGGCGTGGCAAACCGCAAAAGTTTATATCTCCTAAAGTATAATAGCTAGAAGCTTCAAATTTAGATAGTTAAGTTACCAGTAACCTCCTCTATCGATTCCCCAAAAATAATTTTTACGCCGCTTTAGGGGCGTGGCATATTGAAAAATATCCTGTAATTTTCACATTTTTTGAGGGTAGGCATTCAAAGTTTGCAGTTAGTGTACCGTTATCACGTTTTAAGAACTTACTTACTTAATGAGGTGTCTGCGCCCAATAGGGGCGTGGTAAATCGGAAAAACCTGTATATTCTACAGTATTAGAGCGAAACTTAACTACTATATTGTTGATGGGATGTGAATGAGTATTAAGCAGTCGGTAACGCCCGCCTACATCGTTCTTACTTGTTTTAATTGTTTCAAAATATTTATACCCTGAACCCATTGAAAATGGGAAATCAGGGTATAATGGTTTTGTGAAAAAGTATGTAACGGGCAGAAGGAGGCGTGGCAGACCCCACAAAGTATATATATTCTTGATCAGCGCGACGAGCTGAGTCGATATAGCCCTGTCCGTCTGTCCGTCCGTCCGTCCGTCCGTCCGTCCGTATGAGTGCGTCGATCTCAGAAGTTATAAGAGCTAGAGAGCTGAAATTTGGCATGCATACTCGTGTGTACCATACGCAGTACGAGTTTGCTTTATTTTTTCGATAAATTGCCCGATAACTTTTTTATCGAGAATAATCGAAAAATTGATTTTGTTTTTTTTTAGCCTAATTTGAACACTTTTAGACCTGGAGTCTTCAAATTTGCGTTGTATATAAAGTTAATGGATACAAAGATTTTGTAGTTTACAGATTTTGGATACCACGCCCCCTTCACCCCCAATTTGTAAAAAACGCATTTAAAGTACTAGAGACTTGTGCTTTGGAATGTACACACATATTCACCATATGATTACACTCTGAAAGTTTCATTAAGATCGTATGTCTATAAAAGAAATTATTAAACAAATAAATTCTCATTATATTGGCCACACTGCAGCGCAGCCCAAGCGCAGTCGCTGCTTACTGCGCAGTTAGCAGAGCGCAGGCTTATGCGTGCGTATGAATGAAGGAGTGCAGAATGATTAGAATATCAGCTTAGAGGGTTCAGGGTATCTCCTAGTCGAGCAGTCTCGACTGGAGCCTTCTTACTTGTTTTATATTTTATTAAGTGACTTTTGTATTTCATTTGTATTTTGAAATACATCGAAATTGAAATTTTAGCCATCCTAAATGGGCATTTTTATTAGTTGGGTTCAGGGTAGTATCACTGACCAGAGAACACATAGACATGTAGTACAAAGTTTTTCAACACCGAAAAATCTGTCTCCTAAGGCCTATCAATTTCGCATTTGCTCGGCTCTTCACTTTTTAGGTTCGGGCTACGAAAATATGCGAAAGCACAATCATTCCGCTTTATGCGCTCGACCGAGATGGTCAAATGAATAAAAGATGCCTCTATGCCCAATTTTTGTTTTTGCTTTCTCGCACATGAGCACAAGCAGCAGCTCACGAAAATTAAAATTTCTTCGCGTTAGACTGCCGTTTCTTCCCTTACGTGTGAAGAGTATTCCGAACTCTTCAAGCAGTGGGAAGGGTATGTGGGAAGGGTATGAAAGCGTTGGTGCGCATAATGAAAATGTTTTCGCGATGAGCATGCACACACACTCTCGCTTGCTACATGTACTATGAGCATTTGTATGCCTGTGTGCGAAGCTCGTGCCGTGCCTGTAGCAATTTTACAGTCCAACATTTGCCATTTTTCCCACTGAGTTTAATCAGGTACATTTCTCTAAAAATGCATTATGATAGGCAAACCCACAGTCATTGAAATAAAATCAGGTGCTTAAAGATAAGCGCGAGTTACCCAGTCACTATACCACACAGATATACGTACATACATATGTGTATGAGATACTCGCCGGCCACAGTGCCACAGAGTATTGGGAAATGGTCCCGCTTTGCGTTTTTTGTCCTCTCTCTCTCTCTCTATGGGCTCTCAAATCATCAGCACAGCATCGCACAAAAATGAAATTTGTTCGCGACGATCCCCCTTTTGAGTGAAGGTTACACCGAAATTTTAAAAGCGTTTGCCACGCCCATACAAGCAAATGTAGCGTTTCGATGGATATTCGTGGGAAGGGTATGAAAGTTTTGATGCGCACAAAGAATTTGATTTCGCGACGAGCATGCACACACACACTTGCACGCTTAGTACATGTATGACCAAATGTATGACAGTGTGCGAAATGTTTTAAAGAAATGTAGTACCTGATTAAGCTCAGTGGGAAAAATGGGATAAAATTTTCGATCCCTTACCCGTTTATATATGTACATACATATACAGGTGCATGCAAGTAAGAAAAAGTATAAAAAGTAATGGGAAGTGCACTTGTCACTTTAGTTAGTCCGCTATTTAAATATAAGCGCGCCTCTTCAATTAAAACCCAAAATCGATCACACCATTAAAAGTTGAGGTAGGCACACGCCAATGTTCATCTCCCATGCATACAAACAAACACATATGTACACACACGCACATGTAAAGGCACATAGGCATACAAATGCTTCTACAAGTGATATCCCATAATTGTGAACAGCACATCCCATGCGTACACACAATCAAATGTATATACATACATACATACATATGTATATGAGGACTTCACAAGATCGACCAAATGCAAATGCTGGGGACTGTAAAATTCCTACAGGCGGCAAGAGCTTCGCACACAGGCATACAAATGCTCATAGTACATGTAGCAAGCGAGAGTGTGTATGCATGCTAATCGCGAAAAGATTTTCATTATGCGCACCAACGCTTTCATACCCTTTCCATAAATAATAACGAAAACGCATGGCAAATGACTTGAAGCGTTCGGAATACACTTCACGTAAGGGAAAAAACGGCAGTCTAACGCGCAGAAATTTCAATTTTCGTGAGCTGCTGCTTGTGCTCACATGCATACATACATATACATATTGAGAGAGCAGAGAGCAGAGAGAGCGAGAGAGCAAGAACAAAAATTGAGCATAGAGGCATCTTTCATTCAACATTTGACCATCTCGGTCGAGCGCATGAAGCGGAATGATTGTACTTTCGCATATTTTCGTAGCCCGAACCTAAAAAGTGAAGAGCCGAGCAAATACGAAATTGATAGACCCTAGGAGACAGATTTTTCGGTGTTGAAAGACTTTGTACTACATGTCTAGTCTATGTGTTCTCTGGTCAGTGGTAGTATCTAGTCGAGCACTCTCGACTAGAGTTTTCTTACTTGTTTGAATATGTCAGACTATCGATAGTCGCAAAATGCTATCAACGTATCGCCGTTTTAGAAAACCATCGATAGAATCGATAGTACCATCTATTGTTTAGCGCGTGATATACTCGGACCTAGGAAATTTCAAGTCTCTAGCTCTTATATCTTCTGAGATCGACGCGTTCATACATACGGACGGACGGACGGACAGACAGACGGACAGGGTAAAATCGACTCAGCTCGTCGCCATGATCAAGAATAGATATATATATACTTTGTGTGATCTGCCACGCCTCCTTCTGCCTGTTACATACATTTCAACAAAACCATTATACCGTGATTTCCCATACAAAATGGGTTCAGGGTATTAAATTACCGAGTCGACCGAATACAAAGCAGGTTGGGACCTACAAGACACATTTTACGGCGTGGAAAAAATTTGTTCTACGTACCTATCTGTTGCCTGGTTAGTGGTAATATTAAATGCACGAACTTTTTCACTAGAAATACTAACGCTTATTTCATAATACGTACACTAACAAATTATTTTTTTTTTTTTTTTCAAGGACGTGGCATTTATCAATCCAGCAAATGTTGTATTTGTTTACATGTTAGTACGTGAACTTGTAAATGGAGAAGAAACGAAGGAATCTGATCTTCAAGCTTCTGTGCTTACCTGTTTGTATTTATCTTATTCATACATGGGTAATGAAATAAGCTATCCCCTGAAACCATTTCTCGTTGAGGATTCAAAAGAAACTTTTTGGGACAGGTAAGTTTAAAGTTGATTTTAAAACAATACTTGAAATACGCTTAATTCTATCAATAATTATACCCTGAACGCATTGAAAATGGGAAATCAGGGTATAATGGTTTGGTTTGTTTTTGGATGTATGTTGGTTGGTTGGTTGGTTTTTGGATGTATGTAACAGGCGGAAGGAGGCGTGGCAGACCCCGCAGAGTATGTATATATTCTTGATCAGGGCGACGAGCAAAGTCGAAGCCCTGTCCGTCCATCTGTCCGTATATAATAAAATGTTTGGCACAATTAACAAACGCGCAGCTACTATAGTTTTCCTAAACGTGTGCACACATAAATTCAAATTTATTCCAGCATATTCTTGAAATCACATTGCGAATCAAATGCTAATTTACTTAAGATTTGCTAGATGGCGCTGCAGCAATGAATTTCAATTTTGCCATTAGACTTTTGAAGAGTTAAGTGTTGTCTCGGATTCGAGGCCAGAGCCCACAAACTTTGTTTTAAAACAAGGTTCAGGGTATAAAAATAAAACAAGTAAGAACGTTGCAGTCGGGCGATACCGATTGCAGAAGACTCATTCACAGCCCAAACGCTGTCAACCAGAGTATATAGTGCAATTTTCAAGTCTAGTGCGCAACAAAAAACACGGCATGATGCCATTAAAATTGGAAAATCATAGATAGCTATTGCATTCAAATTACATACATATTTATATAATTTTGATTTTTATTATATATATATTTTATTATATATATATATAATTTATACAATTTTGTTTTTTATTATATGCTAGCTGGCCCGGCAAACGTTGCATTGCCCTATCCATTATTTCTAGGTAAACAAGTAAGAACGTTGCAGTCGGGCGTTACCGACTGCGGAATACTCATTCACATCCCATTAACAATTTCGTAGTTAAGTTTCGCTCTAATACTGTAGAATATACATGGTTTTCCGATTTGCCACGCCCCAACTGGGCGTAGACACCTCATTTTTGGTCAGTTTTTAGAAAGAGATAACGGTACCCTAACTGCAAAGTTTGAATGCTTACCCTCAAAAAATGTGAAAATTACAGGGTATTTTTCGATATGCCACGCCCCTAAAGAGGCGTACAAATTATTTTTGGGGAATCGATAGAGGAGGCTACCAGTAACTCAACTATCCAAATTTGAAGTTTCTAGCTATTATACTTTAGGAGATATAAACTTTTGCGGTTTGCCACGCCCCCTGTGGGCGGACATATATCCGACCAAACTTTTTGGTCTTGGGTGATCAGTCCGAGTATATATACAAAATTTGAGGTCTCTGCCATCAATAGTGTCCAAAATATAGGAGAATTTAAAAAATCACTATATCTTCAGGTCCGATTTGCCACGCCCCCAATGGGCGTAGACTTGTAATTTATCTTCAGACTTTATAGAATCATACCATTAGCTGACGTGCAAAATTTCAGCATTCTAGGTTTACAACTTTAGGAGATACAGTTTTAACCGATTTGCCACGCCCCCAATGGGCGTAGATATATCCGCCATAGCTCGTGATCTTGGGTGGTCAACGCGGACCTACATACCGAATTTCAGCTTTCTAGCTCTTCAACAAACATGATTTCTGGTATATCGGAAAATGCATTTTCCGATTTGCCACGCCCCTAGTGGGCGGATCGGAAAAATTTTAACACTTTATAAATCGGAGATATACACGAGTATGTGTTCCAAATTTCAAGTCTCTAGCTTCAATAGCGCCGAAATAGATTGCGTTCATACGGACAGACGGACAGACGGACAGACGGACGGACGGACAGACGGACAGACGGACGGACAGCAAGACGGACATTGCACAAAACCAATATACTGATTCACTTTCGTGAATGAGTATAAAAATTGTTGAAAGCTATGTTGTTCAGGTTGGGATACACTCTGATTAATTTATTAAAAGGATTTTCATTCAAGCACCTTGTGGTAAACGACATTCTTCGTTTTTTGGTCAGGTGCAAGAACAAATAATGCGGATGGTTTGCCAACACGTGAGCATGCCACGTACAATTGACCATGAGAAAAACACGCATTTTCTAGATTGAGGCCACAAATAGTCAAAGATTGGCCCTGTGATTTGTTGATCGTAAAAATTGTATTTCAGAACCCCTAATAGGCTTACGGCTCTTACAGCTACTCTCTACTAAATTAAGAGTGATAGCTTTTTTTGTGTACCAAAAGCAAACAGAATGAAATGTATATAAAGTTAAAATGAAAACAATGATTGATTTTACCATTCAATGGATTAATCGTTTTGATATTAAAGTGATATTCATCGTTTCCTTGCCAAAACATCAGTGGGTACTGTAAAGCGTCATATGAACGGTGCGTTTCAGATATTCTTTGTAGTTGCCCAGTCGTGTAAGCAAAATATCGCGTGCTTTCACCAACAATCAGGATTGCCAGTTCATCAATTGTTGGAGCATTAAATGTGCGTTCATGTGTTCCAGCTGGTCTTTTATCTGCTCTGATTACTACTTTATAGTCATCTCTTGGCATGCGCTCTAAAGCAGTCTTGAACAGCTTGACCAATGCATGATGTTCGTGAAGCATTTGCTGCAAATCTTGGAGAATTGCTCTTTTCATAGCTGTGCTGATTTCTTGACGCCGGTCAAGTTGTTCTTCCATATTGCCCATGAAGTATATTTGCAAGAATTTGTGCTGTGCATCTTCAATAGGTTGTAATGATCCAATGCGATGGCAAATCTGGCCTTGAATCTTTAAATTCAAAGCCATAGTTATAGTTAGATTTACAAACACTTTTTACAGAAATCTAACAAACTACTGTAACGAACCGTCGGTTTATCCCGAGTCTAAGCTGGGCTAGTTTCAGCTGACTGTGGATTCGTGCCAACAAATTTATTTGTTGAAGCCCCTGCGATATTAATTAGTCACTTGTGAATTTAGGTTTTATAGCGTAAATGTATATTCTCTTAATAAGTTTGAAATGTACACGTCACATAAATTTATGCTGGTTCGCTGGTTGGCTTTAGCGAAGCACACCTACTGAGCGCTGGTTCAACGCACTCCGGCTGGGAGAGTGTTGTGCTAAACACGCTAGTTCACCGGGACAATTCGGGAAACGCCAGGATTTCGATCTGTAAACTCTGGCGGTTCGCTCAGCTATACAGGCCTCTCCTACTATCCCACTCGTTCACAGCACAGCACTACCTACGTTTCACTCACAAACACTTCTCTTGCGCACGGCTACGTGAACTTACTCAGAGGTGCAGGCGTCACTTAAGCCGCTGATATGCACCGATGACCTGATCGGTGCCGCTGATGATCCGCAAGGATTCCCTCTGGATGTCCTTGCTGTTCCCACGATGTCCTGGGAGTCCTGATTTACCACTCGCGTTGACTTTCACTTGACTTTGGCGCTTTCTTCACGCACTTCGACTTTCACTTTATATCTTTTCTTCACTATAGTTTCGACAGCCTCGTATGGAGCTGCTGGTGGCCTTTTATACCCCAGCCACAGGCCCTGCCTCGTGTGGTAACGGGGCCTGTTCGGCTCTGGAGCGGGGCCTTTCTGTTGCTCGTGCCCATAAAACGGTAAAGTGGCGTGATCTGTGTAAAAAATATTTTTTTTTTTTTTTTCATTTTTTTTACGGTTGCCATGTTCGTAATAGCTTTTACTATAAAACAATTAAAATGCAAAACAACCATTTTTTATAAACATTTTTCCATAACATGGTTTAGAAACATTTTTGTGACGTCGGCATTGTACTTTGTCTCTCTCCCTCTCTCTGTCTTAGCAGCATTTGTGGCGTTGCTACGCACACAAGCAAGGGTACTGAACACTGATCAATACATACATGTATACACTTCTAACAGAGTCTTTTTATTCCGAAATTTGTTGTCATTATTTCGCAATATTAGTTTATCACGTCGTTATAACCGGTGATTGACTCAAAAAAAATTGACTCGAAAAAATCGTCGGCAAGCGGATTGTCGTTAAAAGCGGAGACGTACTAAGCGGAGGCTCTTTTGTTTAAGTTTGTATGGGGACCGACCAAGACATCGAATTTTCGTCAACATAACCGATTGGAAACTTTACGCGGAGTCGTTATAACCGGATTCTACTCTATATATATTCTTGATCAGGGCGACGAGCTGAGTGGATCCCAATTTTTATACCCTGAACCCATTTTCAATGGGAAATCAGGGTATAATGGGTTTGTAGAAATGTACGTAACAGGCAGAAGGAGGCGTGGCAGACTCCACAGCTGAGTTGATTTGACCCTGTCCGTCTGTCTGTCCGTCCGTCCGTATGTATAAACGCGTCGATCTCAGAAGATATAAGAGCACTGACCAAAGAACACATGGATGAGACATGTAGAACAAACTTTTTCACCACCGAAAAAATGTGCATTAGGTACTACTCAACTTCGTATTTGCTCGGCTCCGTTTCTTAAGGCTCGAGCAGTGAAAATACAACACTACAAAGTCAGTTCGTTGCGAGCGCTCAAACGAAATAATCACATTCTTATATGAAGCACAGCTATGCGCTATTTGTCCTACTCTCTCTCACTCTCTCTATCTCTCTCTATGGTCGCTAAAATCACCGAACTCAGCAGCGCACAAAACTTGAATATTGTTCGCAATGATCACAGCTCTTTCCCTTTGAAGTGAAGGGTATACGTAAACCATAAAAGCGTTTGTCACGCACATGCAAACAAAATGTCAGCGTTTGTATGGTTATTCGTGGGAAGGGTATGAAAGCGTTGATACTCATGAAAACGTTTTCGCGACTTGAAATTTTTTTTCCTAGGTCCGTGTATATCACGCGCATATCGAGATTTTCTGTAAATATCGATATCTACTCCCGATATTTTATTATCGATTAAAGCCTTATCGAAAGCTAGTTATTTAATTATATCTCCTACACCTTTAGAGCTGGAGCTTCCAAATTTTAAATGTAGACTTATATGTATTTTATGTAGTTTCAGTTTTTGTTAAAATTTACCCCCACCCCTA